GGAAAATATCTAGGCTGGATCAGCATTTTGCGAGATCTAGTTACGGATCCATATTTTTTTTTAATCCAGCTTGCCACCTGGATTTCCCCCCACGTAAGGCGAAATGCTCTCCCCGTTCTATATCTACGAAATTTGCGATTGCTCGCCAACCCCCCACAACCCCCCAACTCACGAAATATGCGAACGCTATTCCTCTCAATCCCATGCATACGAAATTTGCGAATGCTTACCCCCAACCCTCAACTTACAAGATTCTGCGATATCCCTGTCTGATCTTTTCCCGAAAACCTAAATCTCGCATACCCAAGTCCAGACAGACTAACCTAAGGTAACTACTTAATTACGTTAAGTTCTAATGAGGTGATAACGGCGTGATGTGTGGGGGGCGTGGTAGTAATGGCTGCTGCTAAATAGCGCGACTAAGTTTGAGCTCAAATTTGAGCTCAAACAGAATGTCCCGCAACGTAAATTGTAGCCCGCCGGGACAGTCGCGTCGAACACATTCGTGTTCGTTTTTGCCCCGAAACGAACACGAACGCGTTCGTGTTCGACGCGGCTCGGCAGCAGTAGCAGGGCGAACACCGAACTTGTTCGGGCGAACACCGAACACGTTCGCCCCGAACATTTTTAGCCAAAACAAAATCCTGTTTGGTTCGCCTCGAACGTGTTCGAGGCGAACCGAACAGGTGTTCGTTTCCATGCTCATCCCACTCTCATACTAACCTCCCTCTTACCATACATTGGACAACCAGCCTTTCTTTGACGCCTCCTCTCTGGCTGTTGAAATCACAGTGCGTTTCTGGGTTTTGTGTAGCTTTTGGCAGGTTTGATGGCCAGGACAGCCGTCCCCTGTGGTTCACCTCATGATGCAAGCAGCCGCTTTCACGATCCTCATGGTTCCACCACACATTGTGTTGTCTTTCACTGCAGAGACATAGGAGGGAATGGTTTTTATGGAACAATTCCCCATGAGATATCCCGACTGACGAACATCATATATCTGTGAGTCCAATCTTAACTCAGCTTTACAACTTGCCATGTAGTGTTCACACAATATTAGGTTGAGTAGCCCATGACAAGATGTTTGGAAGCATTTCTAGTCCAGTGCTGTAGTGTGCAGGTACACTTACACACATCCTTCTACTTTCATGACCTAAAAATCTAACTTGCGCTACTCGAATCGGCATCGGGCATCACTTCAAACATGTTCAGATCAATGCGACTCAACAAGCAAAGTCGAACATGTTCGAATCGAAGCAAGAGAAAAACAAGCAAACAAACAAACAAACAAACAAACGAAACATAACAAAACAAACACACAAACAAACAAAAGCAAAATCATCTTTGGTTTGACTCGAACATGTTCGGATTTTTTCTCATTCGTATGCACCTTGGTTGGGATGCACGTTGGTTTGTGTAGTGTCATCTCGCTCATGAGTGGCAGCACCTGTATTGACCCAAGGAACACGTATAGTTAGAGTTGGCAACACTAACCCCACATGTGCGTAGTTGTACCCAATGAGAAGTACCACTTGAGTGGGCACACATGTCACATGGCATGCATGGGTACATACATACGAGTGAGTCATGTTACATGAGTGGGTGGGCAGACATGTGTGTGGGTACACACGACACGAGTGGGTACACTACACTACATGCACACATTCTCATGCATGTTGCGATGAAATTGCTCGGATGGTGCTCATGCATGTTCCTCTCTCCACTTTACCTGCAACAGGACACTTGGTCCGAATAACTTTCACGGCGAGGTTCCGCTGGCACTCTACTCACTTCCAAAAGACGAACTGTGAGAGCTTGAGGCCTATCTGCTTGCTTCTGCTGCTGCTTTCCCCTTCCTTCGTTCCTTCTTCTCGCCCTCCTCTCGCCACCCACCCCATCGCTTCCAAATTACCAGCATGCTTTTCCAGGCAACGTTCTAGTTTTTCTTTTTTTCTTGATTGTTTGCAAAGGTGGATGAAGTCTAGGAATGTGGATGTTAGTCTGAAATTGCTCCGTGCAGTACGAGGATTGTGACTGCACACGCTGCTTGCTGCTTGCTCACGGCATCCCACCTGGGAGACGGCCATCTTAGCTATAACTTGTGTTGCCCTTCATACAATCTCAATTGTCAGGAATTTGGAGTACAACAATCTAAGTGGAATTCTACCCAGGAGATTGTCCACCGATATGACCCTCTTGTATAATATGACCCTCTTGAATGATATGACTTTCTTGTATGATATGGCCTCTTGTATGATATGACCCTCTTGAATGATATGACCCTCTTGAATGATATGACTTTCTTGTATGATTTGTCCCTCTTGTATGATATGACTTTCTTGTATGTTTTGACCCTCTTGTATGATATGACCCTCTTGAATAATATGACCCTCTTGTATGATTCGACCCTCTTGTTTGATTTGAGAAGCCTTCTGGATGATCAGAGAAATGGGTTAGCAATTGATCCATTTGCATCGCACTGGCATATACGGCTACACTTATTTGTTCTGTATATACTATCTGCTTGCCAGGAACGTTCAAGGGAATCAGCTATCGGGTCTGCTTCCTGATTTCTCTCAATGGAACACGTCAATAATCAGGCTGTAAGTTGCACTACCATGTGTCACCTTTTCATAAGCCCTAGGTTAGGGTCCAGACTTGTGGTCAACCGCCTTCGCATTTTATTTGTACCACCTAAAGTTATTGCTAATGAAACTCATGTTTGTTTCAATGGTTGGAACTAGAGCATTTTCTAATCGAGGCACCTCCTGGGTGTTCGTCTCTAGAGTCGTTTTTGGTCTCAGGGTACTGTCTCTCAAAATGGATAGCATGAGAGAGCTTAACTAATTACAACTCTGTGCAGTTGCCATGAACAAATATTCTACAAAGTGTGCTGATTTTGGGATTTACTAAATCTGTTAATTACTTCCGAATTTGATTGCAGGCTTTTAGGTGATAACCGCTTCACAGGGTCCATTGGGAAGTCCATTAGCATGCTTACTTCGGTTGCTTACATGTGAGTGAACAAGCTTCCTTGTATGTGTTTAATGCCATACTGTAAGTACGTATTGAGCCTCTTCTGGCTTTCCCAATGTGTTGGGTTTCTTGTTGGAAAGCAAAAATCAACACGTCCAGACCGAAATGATAATTGCACTAGGCATGATGACTAGATGGTTGAGTTGCGGTTTGGCTTGGGAAAACCACGAACGAGTTGAGCTTTGGTTATCGAGTTTCTGGAGTGACTGTGCCGAACTTGAGATTCGCAGAAACCGCAACAGACCTGGCTGGCTATGAGCTGCCTCGGTTTCGCTATGCTTGACTGTGGGGCTTTTTTTCAGACAATCCTCCAGGTGAACTTAAACTGTATGAATGCGAGGACGCTATTTATGATCGCCTGTCATCTGACTTATGGGTGAACTGGACCCTTCCATTCCATTCCATCCATCCATCCACCATCCATCATACCTGCAGTTCCTTGCGCAACAACCAGCTCTCAGGGACCATTCCGTCAGCTCTGTCTGCTGCACCAAACTTTCAAGCCATGTAAACTCCTTTGCATCTCTTCCCTTTCACCAACGCTTGTTTTAGACACTCCTCTTTTTTTCACTCCAGGTTCTAAGAGTCCATTGCTAGGCCATCACATGCCATGTGTATCTTTCTCGTATCACCCATCTCCTACAGAGACCTGTCTTTCAACAACATATCGGGGTCCTTGCCTTCTACCCTGGGGGTTCTCTCCAACCTCCTTATCTTGTATTGTACCTATGATACATTCCCATGCCCGCGTGTCCTGGATTCTTTCATGCATGCCCATGCATCCCATGCGCATGCCCTATGTCCAATGGATCATTATTCACATGCACATTCACGCTGCCTTTGCCATTCTTGACCATTCATCATCTCATCCTGCCACTCCGAAACTGTTGTGCCACCATACGTGTCTATGCCAATCATTCTTGTACTTGGTTTGTGCTGGCATGAGAATCACTGATGCCTGGTAAGGCATCCCTTGCTCTGCTCTTGGATTGGAGGTCATGAGCTTCTACCCTTCTAGCTCCTCTCACCCCACTAAGTGAATTCGCCCGCTGCATGCATGGGGGCAGGTCGGTGCATGACAACCAGCTCACGGGCAAGCTGCCGCCTTCCATTTGCAACCTCACACAAATGCATACCATGTAAACCTCGCCGCTATATTCCCTGTGTTAAAATGTGCTGCGGCACATTAGTTGATTGGAAGTTTTCAAATTCAATGCAGGCCAAAACGTGTACCCATTACGGGACCACATTACATTACAGTCTCTCTTCAGCACGGCTTGATACTGCAGGAGTTGCAGTACATAATGATACTGCGGGAGTCGCAGTACATATTGATACTGCGGGATTCGCAGTACATATTGAGACAGCAGGAGTCGTACTGCGGGAGTCGCAGTACATATTGATACTGCGGAAGTTGTACTGCGGGAGTCGCAGTACATATTGATACCGCGGGAGTCGTACTGCGGGAGTCGCAGTACATATTGATTCTGCGGGAGTCGCAGTACATATTGTTTACAGGTTTCAATCGCTTCCCCCAGTTGTGATGCCATCGATATTCCTCAAAAAGTGTGCTGGGTTATTTGTCTTCCCGCCCCTCTTCAGGTTCCTCCATAACAACCGCTTTTACGGCGAGTTCCCCTCATGTCTTTTTCAGCACTGCTTGCACAAGATGTGAGCACTTCTGGGAAGCTGTTGCTTGGATGTTTATGCTTGCTCTGTGTACGTGTGATGCTTTTGGGACTTCCATGTTCAAAACAGCGCAGCTTCCATGAGAGCCGTGCTGGCATGATCATTTTTATGGCTGGAGCCTTGAGTTGTTCCGTTCTCAACCAGCATGGCAGCGGTTCAAACATGCCAAACAAGCACCTCACTCTCGTGTCATTCCCCATCCCTATTGCGACCCCCCTCCCAGTGACATTAGCAACAACAGCTTCTACGGTCGGATGAACACCAACTTCCGCGGCATGATTCCAGACAAGACTGCGCTGCTGAATATCGCAGGCAACTACTTCTACGGCCAGCCCATACTCTTCGCTGACGGCTGCCAGTTTTGCCCCTCCGAAATCAACCAAACCCGCATTTTGGACCTGCAAGGCCTCACGTCGTATGGCAAGGGCCGTTGTTCAGTTGACTGGGGGACCACAGCGCTTGCGTTTGAACGCTCAGCCGCCAACAAGCGAGGCCAAGCGAGCCTGCGCGGCAACTGCTTCAGTGTGGGCGAGCAGCAGAGCTGCACGGCGAATGAGACGCAGCGCAGCGCTGCGGAGTGCCGGGGCTTCTGCAGCCTGTCGGAGGAGCTGGGGCCGTGCGACGGGCACGGCGCATGTGTGCCGGTGGTGCAGACGGCAGGGCCGGGGGAGGGGTTCGTGTGTGAGTGCGAGGAGGGGTACGTGGCGGTCAATGGCAGCTCTGGTCCCACGTGTGCTCGCCCGCCCCCGCCCCCCTCCTCATGTATGTGTGTAACGGTAGAGTGAGGTACATGATGAGGCCGAGACAAACAGCATCTTGAGTGTATGGCATGTGGTATCTATCGCATGTCTGCACAGCATATGTTGTCTCTGGCATGTGGTGTGTATGGCATGATTTGTGCTTGGCCTATGGTCTATTCTGGTCTTCTGGAGAGTATGAAGTAACAAAGGCTACTGAATGCTTGAAATGGCTTGCAAATTGCGTTCTCATTGCCTTTCAAGCAGCTATATTGCTGTGTGGCAGAATGTGCATGATCACCTTCCGCTGTCTTATGAGCCCGGCAGAGTGCTTGTGGCAGCACAGTGGATTTGGGTTTGAGGGAGGTGATGTTCAGGACACTGGAACCATATGACCTCAGCCACACGTTTCCGGGCTGGGATGGACAGGATGGGACTCACAAAGAGCATCCCTTACACACAAAAAGTCTCCTTCTCGCCCTCCATATTCTATGCATGCAAATCCCCATAATCCCCCCCACATTCTTGACTCGACCCTCCGTTGTAACTTCTGCCTTTCCCATCCCCTCCAGCGCTCTCTACCGGCGCACTGGTGGGCATTGCTGTGGGCTCAGCTGCGGCTCTTTCCCTCCTCCTCGCTCTCATTGTCGTCGTGATCTGGCCCAAACAGCGCAGTCAGTCCCTTCCACCTTCTCCTAATGTCGGGTTGATTTATTCTCCCTTCGTTTTATGCGCACTTCCTCCCACTGTCCCTTCCTTCCGCTTTCCCTTCCCCTTTCCCTGCGCCCAATTTCCCTTCCTCCCACTCTCCATTTCTTCCACTTGCTCTTGCTCCCATTTGCCCTTGCTCCCCCCGTCTCTTCCTCCCCCTGTCCCTTCCTCCCCTCCTCCCTTCCCCCCCTTCTCATGATGTCTCCGGTTCTTTCACTCCCTCATGCTCTCTCATATTCGTTCGTATCCACGCCGGTTTGTCCGCCAGGGAGGTGGTCTGCCCTGGACGTGTGTCGGGAGTTCAGCATGGCATACATGCTCCTCTCTCCTTCTGTCCCCATTGTTGTCCCTTACGTTACGTTGCTCCATTCGCAAATGAGGTGGAGCGGCCTGGACGTCTTCTGAGGCGCCTCAGAAGGTGTCTCTTGTTCTGTCCCCATCTCTGTCCCTTACGTTGCTCCACCTGCCAGGGAGGTGGGCAGGGCTGGACGTATGTCGCGAATTCAGCATGGGGGACATCCTCCGAGCCACGGACAACTGGGCGAGCGCCAACGTGGTGGGGAAGGGGGGCTTCGCCACGGTCTACAAGGGCGTGGCACCCACTGGCGAGCTCTGGGCTGTAAAGCGCATCAGCCTCATGTCCAACGACTTTGAGAACGAGGTGTGCGGACAGAGCTTGCGGGCCCAGTGAGGCACCACTTCTTTGCGTGGCAGCGAGCCTTAGAGTAAAGCTGTTGTTCTTGTTACAGGCTTGCTTGTAAAAAGTCCTTTGCGGGCCATCAAGCGCATCAGCCTCATGTCCAAAGACTTCAAGAATGAGGTGGGCGGGGGGGTGGGGGGGGGGGGAGGGCTTGTATATTTTTATCAGCACAGGAAAATCCATGAGGATGAAGTATTGGGGGCATGGTTCTAGCAGTACGGTCGCCCTCCCTCCTGCCCCTGCCCGTGGCAGGTGCGGGCGATGGCATCGCTGCGGCATGAGAACGTGGTGCGGCTGCTGGGCTTCTGCCTGCACCAGAGTGCGGAGAGCGGGCGGCAGGAGCAGGTGTTGGTGTACGAGTACGTGCCCCATGGGGACCTCAAGCACCACATCCACCACTCCAACTGTGAGTCCCCCTCGTACCATGTCCTTCGTACCCCCTGTGACAACTTCTTTCCGCTTTCTGCTTGGCTTGTCGTGCCGCTACTGCCTTGTCGTGTCAACACACCGTGTCACACATGTCCCTCGTACCATGTCCCTCGTACCATGTCCCTCGTACCATGTCCCTCGTACCATGTCCCTCATACCCCCTATAGCAACTGCTTCTGCATTCTGCTTGCCTTGTTGTGTCAAACCACCTTGTCCAGCACAAAGCTCTTCACCTCCTCCTCACACCCCCCCTGGTCTTGTTGCCCTTGCGGTGCAGCATAACTTTCTTCCTTCTCCCCCCCACGCCCAATCCCCTATGTGTGCTCAGAATCCCCCCTTACTTTCCCCTGTATCGCCTCCCCCCCTCCCTTATTATCACTCTCGCCTCTCCCTCTCCCGCAGCCCCTCTGATTCTCCAGCAAAGGCCTAAACCCTGGCCCCTCTCTCTCGTCTCACCCTTCTCTCCCCTCCCCAGCCCCACTGACCTTGCAGCAGAGGTTGAAGCTGGCAGCGGGGGCAGCGGAGGGAGTGGCCTACCTGCACAGCTTCACGACGCCCATCATCCACCGCGACCTCAAGCCGGGAAACATCCTGGTGGGGGAGCACAACCTCGCCAAGATCGCCGACTTTGGGCTGCTCAAACTGCTCTGCCATGCTGACGGGGGCGATGAGCGCACGCGCGTGGCAGGCACTCCGGGCTACCTGGATCCGGATTACAACCGCACGCACGTGGTGTCGGAGAAAAGTGACGTCTACAGGTGCGCCCCTTAGTACTCTGCTGTTAGGGTCTTTTAACTCATCCCTGGGTTCGTGGATCCGGACTACAACCGCACACAGGTGGTGTCGGAGAAGAGTGACGTCTACAGGTGCGCCCCTTAGTACTCTGTTAGGGACTTTCTAGCTCATCCCCGGGCTACTTGGATCAGCACTACTACCGCACACACGTGGTGTCGGAGAAGAGTGACGTCTAAAGGTAGACCAATTGCATTGATCTGTCGCGGTCTCAAAGAACGTATCTTGTGGACTTGAACATATCTCTCTTCCAATCCAACCCCTCCCTCCCCTCCACAGCCCCTCTGAGTTTTGCATATTCTTCCTCCCCTTGCCTGCTGTGCGTGTGCGGCTCTGGGGTGATGCTGCTGGAGCTGCTGATGAGGCTGTTGCCATCTTTGTCCCCCTTCCCCCTCCCACTCCCCCCTTGCCCCCCTCATCCCCCTGTGCATGCACGTGCAGCTTCGGGGTGGTGCTGCTGGAGCTGCTGACGGGGCGCAGGGCAGCAGTGGAGGGCACCGACAGCCACATCAGCGAGTGGGTGAGTCGAGCGTGCAAGCAGGCAACACAGTGGACCTGATCTATGCATGCTACGCACAGTTGTGTGCTGGCCATTCGTCTCTCAGCTATAGAGCATCCCGCTCTGTGACCTCACTTTGTTTCTTACCGCGTCCCGCATGTCCCCACTCTCCTAAACAAGTACCACATCACTTGCTTGTTCTACCCTCTTGGCCCGTGCTGCAGGCGGCACAGAAGGTGCAGCAGTACGAGCTGGGAGAGCTCAAGGACCCCACACTGGAAGCTTCAGAGGACGCCATCGTCGATTTTGCAGACGTGGCGCTGGACTGCCTCAAGATGCCCGCCTCCCGCCGCCCCTCCATGCAGGATGTCGCCCACCGCCTGCACGGCCTGCTGGCCCAGTACTGCGCTGATGACGGGCCCGATGATTCCCAAGCCAGCCCGCGCGTGGAGACAGAGAGGGCGTTCGTTGGTGGTGGGGAGAACAGCACCACAGGGTTGTTTGACAGCAGCTTGTGGTCCGAAGGGCCGATCGAATGATAGGTTGCTTGACGCAACTGTGGGCATACCGTATATTGAGAGATTGAGCGCTTTGACCTTATTTTCTGATAAAGAAGACAAACCCACAAGCACATGCACACACACTGGACGATGTAGTCTTCGTGTACTATTCACTGTTTCAATCTTCATGGTTCTTAATACTTACGGGTCTGATGTACGGGGGATTACAGTAGATTACATAGTTGCGAATAACAGAACAAAACCCCCCTAATACCACAGCTACCAGTTTGTGTGATCACTCAACATGGCGGTCTTACAGTACCACCATTAAAGCACCTTACAATACAACCCACACAAATACAGGTCCTTCTGCACCCCATGCCGAAGAACCCATACTATGCCTGCATCCCCGCATCAATCATCATCCCATTCTGAGTCAATCTCGATCCAAGCCCGTGAAAACTCACGCAACGTTCTCTCCACAAACCCGCAGCCCCCTACCCTAAGCCGAGTCACCTTCTTCCCTTCCAGGACCGGCAGCAGCCACGCATGCTGCATGTTGTTGCATCCCAGATCTAGCTCCCTCAGCGCAGGAACGACACTGAGATGCTGCACAAACAGCCTGCTCATGCCGCTGCACTGCTGCAGTTTCAACCGCTCCAGCCGCTCAAGTGCTTGCAGATGCACAGCACCTTGGCTGATGGCCGTTCCCGACAGGTCCAGCGACTGCAGGTGAGCCATGCCTTGGATCACAGACCTCACAGCCCGGTCTGCTGCGAACGTGCAGGCAGCCAGGCTGAGGTCGGTGAGCAGCGAGAGGCGTCTCAAGCACACCACATCAGAATCGTCAAGCAGAGTGCCGGTGATGCGGAGGGTTTTGAGCTGCCTGAGGTTGGAGACGGATCTCACTGCTGTGCTGCTGGGATCGACTGCATGCACCTCCAGGTGCTGCAGTCCTGGCAGGGCACCCACCACCTCCCATATGCTCCCGTCGATGCTGTTGCCGGGGTCTTCACTTGTTGCGCGAAGTGGTGGTCGTTTGATCCCAGGTTCTTAAGGAGGATTGTTGGCGCCAGTTGCAGCCTCTTCAGGCTCACCAGTCCCTTGAGGTGCATCCATCCCCTGGAACTCACCCCCTTGCTGCACGTGCAAGAGAAGACCTCAAGGCTCGTCAGCACCCCAACCTGCTGCAGAATAGAGTCGGTCACCCGGCTTACATGCAGCTCCCTCAAGCTCTCAAACGGCTTAAACGGCCGGAGTTCGGTGCGAGGATTAGAGGGAGGGGGCGGGTTGGCTGCTGGTACGTTGGGAAGCAAGTCAAAGGGTTCAACGCATGCAATGACGAGCCGCTGGAGCCGAGACATGCACTGGAAGAGCGGTACTGCGTCTGACTGGATGGACGTTTCGTGGAAGTGCAGGGCTGTGAGTGACGGCAGGCTGAGGAGCTGTTTCCAGCGAATGGCGAGAGGGGGTCGACAATGCGGAATGCGAGTGTGGTGAGGGATGGTAGGAAGTCTGGGTAGCAGTGGGGAGTGAGATGGAGGTAGTAGGCGAGGGAGAGCCTATCTAAGGAGAGTTCTTTTTCAGCGGAGTCTTGGGTCAAAAGCTGAGAAACCACCCAGTTGATTCGTAGGGTGGCAAGCTGTAGCCTTTCAGGGCGGACGCGCAGTAAACTATCAATCCTTCTCCGCAGCCGTGCCCTCACCTCTGCTTCGCTTGCTCTCCCACCCACCGGCGGCCACTGCTGCGCCGTCTTCACCTGCGTTCCCCCTGCTCTCCCCGCCCTAACTCCCCCTCCTCCCCTGTGTGCGTGCCTCTCCTTCACATTGGTTGTAACCGCTCCTTCTGAATCCACCCCCGCTCCCCCACTGCTGCCAGCACTGTGGGCAGCAGAGATGATTGGCTGAGGTGGATAAAGAGGAGAGAATGAGAGAGGGTTGAGACCGGGGAAATTGTGGAACGAGGGGATAATGCGAGGGGCGTGCATTCATGAATGACTTGGTGTGGATAAGAGGAGAACTAGGAAGGGAGCGTTGGGGTGCAACAAGCGGAAACAGGGACAGCTTCAGAAGAAAACGAGGAAACTGAAGGGGAGGAAAAGCGAGTCAACGGGAGGAAAATGAGCGGATGGAGGACGGACAGAAACAAGAGGGATCGTACGCGAGTGGAGTTTTGAGACTTCTCAAAACTTCACATTTATCAAGAGGGATCGTACACAAGTGGCAAGTACCAAGTGAGGGTCCCTGATATAAGGTCCTTTAAATGCGCCCACCATAGGACAAGGGGATGTTTTTGGCATGCCAGATGCTTCCCACTCACATTTTCAACCGGGTGTTGACTGTTGCCAACCCCCTCATGCGCCGATTCCTCACATCCGCCCCTCTCACATCTGCCCCTCTCACATCCGCCCCTCTCACATCCGCCCCTCTCACATCCGCCCCTCTCATATCTGCCCCCCTCACATCCGCCCCTCTCACATCCACCCCTCTCACATCCCCCACCCCTTCCTCCCGCACCTCCCCCCCCTCCTCGTTCTCCTTTTCCCACGGCTTCTCCCCCCTTCCCTCTTTCTCCTCTTGCATTCTATCCGCGTGAGCCGTCCGAACCTCAAACGCCAGCCTCCGCACTCCCTGCACCATTGAACGGATTGCCTCTGCATGGGCAGACAGAGCCGCCAAATTCTGCCGCGTGGGTGGTTCGACGAAGGGGGTTAGGGAGTGAAAGGCCGTGTGGAGGAATGGGAAAGGCCACGGTCAGCCGTGCAGTGTAACGCCTGTGGGGCTTACACGTAAGGGTATGAGAGCATCCGCTGCGCCTCAAATACAACCCTCGTTTTGACCCAGTGGGTAGCGAGGTGTTACATTTGGTATCAGAGCCTGGGGTTCGATTCCGGCTGGGTCACATTTGAATGTGCCAGTCGCGAACCCAGTGAACGATCCGCCGCTGGCCTGGCCCACCAGCGAAGTCGCTGTAGAGCGAGATTCAGGTCCTTGCGAGGGCCGACTCCCTGCCCAACGAGGACGTTGGCTCCAGGGGGGGACGAGTGTAACGCCTGTGGGGCTTACACGTAAGGGTATGAGAGCATCCGCTGCACCTCAAATACAACCCTCGTTTTGACCCAGTGGGTAGCGAGGTGTTACATGCAAGGAGTGAGGTGTACAGGCGGGGAAGTGGGTGAGAGAGATGAGTGAATTGGGACGAGGGTAACAGCGGGGAAAAAGAGGAGGTATGCATGGATGGGCAAGAGGAAAATCGGATGGCGTGCATTTTAGATGGGGACAAGGCATGCTAGGGTAATACATGGCATGGCATGAGTCGTGCACTCACCTCCGACTAACAGTACGCTTGTGTAATACGGGGCATGGAGTTTCACGTGCGACATGCATGGAGATATGTGTGTAGGGCATGGCATGGCATCGCATAACTTGGCATGCCATGATGCTGCGGCGTGGTGTGGCCTAGCGTGGGCGTAGCATGTTTGTGCGCACTCACCTCCATCATCATCATCGGATGCGAGGGCGCGCCATCTGCCATGCACGCGCGCTTGCGCGCTCCATCGACCCGAGACAGCACCGCTTCCTTCAGCCACTCCTCAAGAAGGTCGGCAGCCAGCAACGACATGGCGCCCACCTTGCGCGCTATCCACTCCTCCAGCTCGCCCATAGCCCTCTCGCCCTCCCTCAACACTCCTTCCAGCTCCTCCTCCCGCCGCCTTGCCTCTGCTAAAGCTTTCCGCGCTTTCTTCAGTTCGTGCCTCCACTCCCACTCGTCTCCCCCCTCCCTCTCGTCCGTCCGCTCCTTCTCGTTCCCTGCATCTCCAGTGGACAAAGTTGTGTCCATCTGATCGCTCAAGCCCTTCGCGGCGTTGTTACCCTTCGCCACGTTGGAACTATTGGCGGACCAGTTACCGGGGAGCGACCGCTGGGCTTTCAGCAGACGCGACAAAATTACCACCGACGAGGGAAAATTCTGGCCACGAAAAGAGATGTCTTTCGGGTTCAAAGGATGATTGTCAATTTGCTAAGCGCGATTGTATAACCAGTGCTAACATTTCAATAGTCACAAGACGGGAAGAAAATAGGGTCTATAGACGCGCAAAGTCTACCTGGACTAATTTCTGTGGGGAAGAATGGCTTTGCGGGTTAGGAGGATGGCTACGTAGTAGTGTGTTGAGGTTGCGGATGAAGCACACCGAGGCATGGCGGAGGGAGAACAGAGCATCCATCTTTTGTTCCAAAACATGTGCCTAGAGAGAATCAGTGACTGCATGCCTTTCGTGCTGGGCACGGTTTGGGATCTCATGTACAATGCGCCGCCGAGTATTCCGCTTCCAGCATTCTTTTTTTAATTTGAATTTCATGTTCCATATCCGCTTCAATAAGCTCTCTTTTGCTTACTATGAGCTGTACAAAAGAATGCTGGATTAAACAATCACGTGATCATACATCTTCACAAAAAATGGGAGACTTGCAATGATGTCTAAGAATTATGATTAATAAAAACAAAACGAGGAGAGCTGGTGTGATGTCATGCATGCACACAGTGGGAATGGATAATCAATCAGTCAGCCTCCAGCTGTGACAAGGAGCTTGCATTATTCAACACCTGTGTTTCTGTTTCTTTCTTTGCTTGCTCCATATGTACTAGCCTGTCAAATGTTGTAGTCATAGTGATGTGTGTTATAGGGGGTACAACTGTTAGGGTTAGGTTTATGTATCCCAACCAACCTTAGTCAAAACACTTTCATTCTTGACATGGCATCACCTAGGTTAGGATCCTGTGGGATCCCGTTTCTCTCGTTCACGTCCGTAGCGTCCGAGCCAGTCCCGTACCCTAATGCCCGTTACGCACCTAGCGCCTATCGCGCTCGTCTCTCTCGTGCCCTAGCGCCCACTGCTCCTGCCGTCGTGTCGCCCCTGCTGTCCCGTCCCGTCCCGTCCCCCCCTGCTGTCCCGTCCCGTCCCCCCTGCTGTCCCGTTCCCCTCTGCTCTCCCGTCCCGTCCCGTCCCCCCTGCTGTCCCGTCCCGTCCCGTCCACCCCGCTGTCCCATCCCGTCCCGTACCACCTGCTGTCCCGTCCCGTCCCGTTGTCCCTACTGTCCCGTCGCGTCGGCCCCTGCTGTCTGGTCGCGTCGCGCCTGTCCCTGCTGTCCCGTCGTATCGCGCTGTCCTGCCGCGTCGCGCCGTCCGTCCCGTCCCGTCCGCATCGCGGTTCCCGTCCCGTCCCGTCGCATGCGCCCCGTGTGCCCTGCCCGTCCGTTGCGCCCTGTGCACCCTACCCGTCCGTCGCGCCCCGTGCGCACAGCCCGTCCGTCGCGCCCCATGCGCCCAGCCCGTTCGGCGCGCCCCCGCTGTGCCCTGTCCGTTCGTCGCGCCCCCGCTGCGCCCTGCCCGTCAGTTGCGCCCCGTGCGCCCAGCCCGTCCGTGGCGCCCCGTGTGCCCTGCCCGTCGGTTGCGCCCCGTGTGCTCTGTCCATCCACGCCTATCGCATCTTGACCATCGCGCCGCACTGTCTATCACACTCTACGCAGGCCCTCCAGGCGTTTAGGGTTTCAGCAACAGAAGTTCCCACCCGTTCGCTACTGCTATGGCGACCCCTAGGTTTTTGCGCTTTGACGCCGAGGGTAGGCTGCTTGAGTTTTCCGTCTGGCTCTTGCATGCATGCAGCCTTTTAGAGAGTCAGGCTGAGGCAGATGAGTCTCTGTGGGCGCACGCTTATAACAACCTTCCTAAGCCCGACAATCCCGCACCCTTAGGCACTAACCCAAAATAGATGTGGGTGGCCTCGGGGAAAACGCGGCTCGGGCGGAACGACCTGCCTAGACCCACTCCCCCAATTTGCACCGAGGCGAAATGAAAAATCTAGACCCAGCTCGACCTGCGATTCAGCCGTTTTACCTATTTCCAAATAGATGATTGGCGAAGGGTAACCCTTTCGCCGATCATTTCAACGGAGTGAACAGTAGACGGCGCGATCGGTAACCACGTCGTTAGCAGTGAAATTCGACGACTGACGGTTGACGGCTGACGACATACGCGAAATATTCCGAAGGTGCTTGGGAGAACGAAAGTCTAGTGGTACAGTAGACGTTTTCTCTGTTTGTAAAACTATTTCTTTGCAATTGATATCTTGTAATGTTGTATCACTGGATTATGTGAATCTGGAGGTCGTTTTTAGGGGTGTTTTTTTTTACAGAATTGGATGAAGGACCTCTTAAGGTTCCTACTGGATGTAGTTAACGCTCTTTATTTGCAGATATAGGCCATGCAATCGACTAAAAACCATTGCCCAAAATGATGTTTCCAAGGAGGTTTTACTCTTGTGTGGTTGGTTTCTTCAAGGTTTTTTTGTATATTCTGACTCCTCTAGTAGTCCTCTACAAGTTTCAATCATTTCTGAAAGTTGTAAAAAGTTTGTGATTTTGGTCAGTGTTAGGTACCTCAAGTATGTCAGTGGTACATACCAAGTCATTATCTGGTCAACATAAAGGCAAACGTATTGTTGGTGCATGGTTCATTGTTGACTTTAGCAGGTTTTTTAGAGCTGGGATGGCTTGTGCATCACCTATGTAATGTCAAACCAATGGTGATACTTGAAAGATGGGCCATTATAGGTGACAGCTTCCTTGGGCGTTTGTAGCATTTCTTTGATGCTTTTTCATGAGTTTGTTTTGCATTTTCCCTCCACAAAGATTCATTGTCCTGTTGTCAACACCGTAGAGTTGGTTATGTTTTGTGAGAGTGCAATATTATACGTTATATTTGAGGTGCTTTTGTAGTCATTCTCATGGTTTTTGCTTTTGGGTTTGATTGACCTATCACTATGTATGCGAGAGACTATAAGTTTCTCTTGATTGCCTTTCCACAATGCCATCAATTTTGATTTCTGTAGAGCTACTTTTTGTCAATTACCAAATTCTCAAGTTATGGTTTTCCTGACTCATAGCATCCATGTTGCTGGGTGTACTGTTAATTCTTGTTGTAAACTGATGTGTTTTTTTCGAGGGTGTTTTTACTCGGTTTAATGCCTCTATTGCACGACGATCGTTTCGAGGGGCTGAATTAGAGGGCATCGGCAGTACAAGTTCTTGGAATGGATAAGAACTGGCCGAGTACCCTCGATCTGGGGGCGCGCAGGTGAGTTGGGGTACGATTTTGTAACGACCCCGACACAATCTACACAAAATACATGTTCGGGTTACGCCCTCCGAAATGGGGAGCGGCCTTCAGAATTGCTAGGTATAAATGTCAGAGTTAGGTCATTTATTCTTTTTGCACCCCCTCATTCACTTCCCCTTCTTCTTCTCTTCAGTTCTGCGACTCAGCTTCCCACTTTCCGTTCTGATGGAGCCCTCGATGGAGCTCGAGGGGGCTGGTGTGCGTGTGCGGCTGTCGCGTTTAGAGTTCGGAAACATTCGCGACCAGGTTGAGGAGTGGTCCGAGAACATCCTCAACTTCGTGTTGCTGTAAACTGTTCTTGAACGACATGCGCTGTAATAGATGTTGACAGTTCGAAAAAAATAGTGTCTTGAAATTGTAGCCCTAGTTAGAGCTCAAACCGCTACTCATGGTGATACTCTGTTTACTGTGTCTGTGTTAGAGAAATGTCCTTCGCATCCGTACTCTGTAGAGATAGGCTTTTTGCTTAGCATGTATGCTCCGCATGATTCATTAACTATCGAGTTTATGTTCCTCCACCAATGTGCTGGCTGAATCGAGCGTTTGTCTCTACATGATGGGCAGGATGCTTGCAAAAAAAAAATTTGACCGCAGAGCAGCTTTCGAAGCTTGAAATTGTCCCCATGAGTAAGGTCAACCTCGCCAGGGCGAAAGTTCCTGTGGAACCTATGGGTCCTGACAGATTCAATGGTCTCCTTGGCAAGCAGCTCTGCGTATTCCCGCTGTGGTCCAGGTGAGTTCGAGTTTCGAAACGTTCTTTGAAAACGTTGTTCCGCGAAAATTTAATCGTTTGTTCGATAACGAGTTCTGTATGTCCATTTCGCACCACCACCCCTTGCAGTATCACTGCCAACCCTCGGGCGCGCTGTAGCCTCTTTCTTCTGGTACGCCCCGACAGTGTGTGGGACAAACCGAAGTCACCGGTTCAGACGCGTCTCCTGCATTTCGACCCGAAAGTGTGTTCTCCGACACACAAGCACGCTGTTCTCGCCCAAGAGATTGTCCAGTGGGTATCCGTATTAAATGGTTCATCTGTGCGTGTTGCCAACTCATACGGCGCCGACTAAATTCGTCGAAACAACACATTTTCTGCAGGTGGCTGGAGTTGTAGCTCTTGATGGAGTATTCAAGAGGGCAAACGATCTCGGAAGGGGAGACGAAGGAAGTTTTCCGAAACATTCGGGCCCGCATCAAAAGCGGGTGGAAGCTTGACAAAACGGCGAAAAGTTGAAATGTACGAATCTTGAGACTGTTTTTTTCGAGAATGGACAGATGCTTACGCGATTCCTTATCCGTTTCCTGCAGAACCTAACTCAGGCAGTTGGCCAGAGGGAGGTTGGTTGAGGCCTTCACGTGGCCTATCAGTGGTGCAAGATACTGGATCATTTCGACGAGATTCTGCAGCAGCAGACGAGAGACGAAAAATTCCTCGTCATGTGAACCCCACAGTACCGTCGAGAGCATGTTCTGGCGGAGATACTCAAAGACTGTGGTACGTATTTCGCCAAAGTAGAACGTGGTGAAATTGCTGGAGACGAAGAGGAGGAGGACAACTTGGACCAACATGGGCCTGTCGCAGAGGACACAGGTCCCTCTCCAGAGATTGATGCGGAAATAGTCGCTGTGGGTGCGCTGATTGCTGACGTCGTTCGAATTGGTCTGGCCAACGAGCGTCAGAGCGTCGCGGATGGGGAGCGTCAGCTGATGGATACTGAGGAACCACCCGTTCAGAGGGAGAGTGCGCGCAAAATATTGCGTGGAATGAGGGAGACGCAGCAGCGAGCAGCAAAGGAGGCCATCCAGCAGAGGGGGGAGGAGATGATAGAGGATCGGATAATGGAGGAGCTTGCAACTGCTTTACAGGCAGTGCATCTCCCCGTCGAGAATGATCAACAGGATCAGTGTCAGGGTTTGGAAGACGGGCAGGGGAGACTGAATGTTGTAGGCGAATTGGAGGAAGAGATGCAGGGGTCGGAACTGGAGACTAGGGTGGTGTATCAGAGACGGAAGGCACGAATAAAGAAGAGGTATGATCTGGGGCGGGAGGAGCGTCCTCGGGAGGAGGAAGATCTGGAGAGGGAGGAAGAGAGTAAGCTGGAGCGCGAAAAGGAGGAGAAGCGGCAGGAGGAAGAGCGGCAGAGGGAGGATGAGAGGAAGGCGTTGCGCAAAAAGCTGGAGAAGCGGCAGAGGGAGGAGGAAGAGCGGAAGGAGGAGGAGAAGGTGGAGCGCGAAAAGGAGGAGAAGCGGCAGCGCGAAGAGGAAGAGCAGAAGAGGGAGGAGGAAAAAAAGGTGGAGCTCGAAAAAGAGGTAAAGCGGCAGAGGGAGGAGGAAGCGCGGAAGAGGGAGGAGGAACAGGTTGAGCGCGAAAAAGAGGAGAAGCGGCAGAGGGAGGAGGAAGAGCGGCAGAGGGAGGATGAGAGAAAGGTGGAGCGCGAAAAGGAGAAGAAGCGGCAGAGCGAGGAGGAAGTGCGGAAGAGGGAGGAGGAACAGGGTGAGCTCGAAAAAGAGGAGAAGTGGCAGAGGGAGGAGGAAGCGCGCAAGAGGGAGGATGAGAGAAAGGCGGAGCTTGAAAAGGAGGAGAAGCGGCAGAGGGAGGAGGAAGCGTGGAAGAGGGGGGAGGAACAGGTTGAGCGCGAAAAGAAGGAGAAGCGGCAGCGGGAGGAGAAGCGGCAGAGGGAGGAGGAAGCGCGGAAGAGGGAGGATGAGAGAAAGGCGGAGCTTGAAAAGGAGGAGAAGCGGCAGAGGGAGGAGGAAGCGTGGAAGAGGGAGGAGGAACAAGTTGAGCGTGAAAAGGAGGAGAAGCGGCAGCGGGAGGAAAAGCGGCAGAGGGAGGAGGAAGCGCGGAAGAGGGAGGATGAGAGAAAGGCGGAGCTTGAAAAGGAGGAGAAGCGGCAGAGGGAGGAGGAAGAGCGGAAGAGGGAGGAGGAACAGGGTGAGCTCGAAAATGAGGAGAAGCAGCAGGGGGAGGAGGAAGCGCGGAAGAGGGAGGATGAAAGAAAGGCGGAGCGCGAAAAGGATGAGAAGCGGCAGAGGGAGGAGGATGAGCGGAAGGAGGAAAAGAAGGTGGAGCACGAAAAAGAGAAGCGGCAGCGCGAGGAGGAAGAGCAAAAGAGGGAGGAGGAAAAGAAGGGGGAGCGCGAAAAGGAGGAGAAGCGGCAGAGGGACGAGGAAGCACGGAAGAGGGAGGATGGGAGAAAGGCGGAGCTTGAAAAGGATGAGAAGCGACAGAGGGAGGAGAAAGCGCGGAGGAAGGAGGAGGAACAGGTTGAGCGCGAAATAGAGGGAAGGAGGAGAAGCGGCAGAGGGAGGATGAAGAGTGGCAGAGGGAGGATGAGAGAAAAGCGGAGCGCGAAAAGGAGGAGAAGCGCCAGAGGGAGGAGGATGAGCGGAAGGTGGAGGAAAAGAAGGTGGAGCGCGAAAAGGAGGAAAAGCGGCAGGAGGAAGAGCGGCAAAGGGAGGATGAGAGGAAGGCGTTGCGCGAAAAGGAGGAGAAGCGGCAAAGGGAGGGGGAAGAGCGGAAGGAGGAGGAGAAGGTGGAGACGAAAAGGAGGAGAAGCGGCAGCGCGAGGAGGAAGAGCAGATGAGGGAGGAGGAAAAGGAGGAGTGCGAAAAGGATAAGAAGCGGCAGAGGGAGGAGAGAGCGCGGAAGAAGGAGGATGAGAGAAGGGCGGAGCTCGGAAAGGTGGAGAAGCGGCAGAGGGAGGAGGAAGCGCGGAAGAGGGAGGAGGAACAGGTTGAGCGCGAAATGGAGGAGAAGCGGCAGCGGGAGGAGGAAGCGCAGAAGAGGGAGAAGGAAAAGAAGGTGGAGCGCGAAAAGGAGAAGCGGCAGAGGGAGGAGAATGCGCGGAGGAGGGAGGAGGAACGGGTTGAGCACGAAAAAGAGGAGAAGCGGCAGAGGGAGGAGGAAGAGCGAAAAAGTGGGGAGGAAAAAAAGGCAGAGCGCGAAAAAGGGGACATGCGGCAGCGGGAGGAGGAAAAGCTGAAGCGGGAGGAGGAGAGGAAGGAAGAGCACGAAAAAAATGAGAAGCGGCATAGGGAGGTGGAACGGGAGCGGAATAGGCTTGATGTCGAGGATCGACAGGCGCGCGAAAAGGAAGCAAGGGAAAATGGGGAGCGGGAGCGTAAGAGGCTGGAGGCCAGAGAGCGGAAAGCGCGAGATGAGCCACGGGAAGGGGAGCGAGAGCAACAGAGGGTGGAGGCTGGTGAGCAAGAACCGCGCGAAAGGGAGGAGGCTCGGCAGGGGCAGGAACGGGAATGGAAGAGAGCCGAAAGCGACCGCCGAAAGCACGAGCTTCTAAGTCTACAGCGCGAACGGCAAGTAGCAAGACAGATGGGTGCTGCCGGGGAGAATCTTGGTCAGGAGCGTCAAAGTGATCGACGGGAGGAGAACGATCGGCGTGTGAATGGGGCCGCTCCGAAGAGGCACGAAAGGCAGAGAGAGGTTGCTGGGTTGGGTGAACAATGTGCCGGAGGGCAGCGGCGTGGTGATGGAACTTGTCACACGAATGAGGCCTATAGGGGCGCGAGGGTCTTTCAATCGAAGATGGGGCGACCTGCCGGGGAAGAAGCTCCACCAGGGGTGAAAGGCGACCAGACAACCGAGGGCCAGCCGGGGACAACGTGAGGTAGGGCAGCGGATTTGGGACCGAGACAGGGCATCCTGCAGAAAGGTGGCCGGCGTGATGATCAAACAGGATGAAACAGGGTTGGCGAGGGAGACCGAAGGAGGCCCGAGCAATCAAGGCAAGCTGGTCGGCGAGAGGGTGAAGCGCGTTTAATACCGCAGTGTGAGAGAGTTGCGGAGGAGCATGTCTGGCGTGGGGTGGGATTTGGAGTAGAGGAAGCGCACCGAAGGGAGAATCAGCTGAGGCATGCGTGTGGACGGGTGGAAGAGGAGCAGGAGAGTGCGGCTAGTGCGCTCCCTATTCAGAGGAGTTGTCCACGTGCGGCAGAGAATCCTGCTACGGGGCAGGGCGAGGAACTGGAGGAGGGTGAATGGGTGGCCTTGGAGAGGGAACTGCAGGAACAGGAGAAAGCTTGGCCCCAGGTTTTTGAGGAGACGGCGGATGGATTCGAGGAGGCCGGAGACCGCATCGCAGCTAGCGGCGGGATGCAACCCACACGAGAGTTAATGCGGCGTCTGACAATGGTGGCGAGGTCAGTGGCCAAGATTTCGTCGGAACAAGGTGTTCGCTTCAGCGACTGCATGGCCGAGATTCGCCAGTTTGGTGCGCGGATGCAGGGATGGGAAACGCGGTACTTGCAGGACTACGATGATTTGACACACGAGTACCACATGCTAAAGGATTCTGTTGTGCGAGAGCGCGAGCAGCTTTGCGAAATTCGTTCTGCTCTTTCGACGTCTACGGCCGAGGCACAAGCGGCAGCAGCTGATGCAGGTCGAGCAGCTGCAACGGCGGTTGTAGAAGCATTGCAGGAAAAGCTCGAGGGGTTTTCCGAGGCGTTTCTGGAAAGGCTGAAGGGTGTAGTGTCACAGGCGGTATTGCAAGCGTCAAAAGGGGGAAAGCTTGAGTCCACGATCACGGCCATCTCCATCGAATACCTCGAAAAGGCTATTGAAAATAGCATATACACAGTGTGGGAGGATCTCAAAGTTGCGGAAGACCAAAACTCTCGGAGTTTCAAAGCTATTCAGAAAGCTCTTGCAGGATTGGCAGCAAAGCTCCGTGGGCGGACTGGACCCATCAACGTCGGAAATCCACACGGCGCCAGAGCAGATGCCACAAAGCTCAAAGGGCGGACTGGAGCCATCCACGTCGGAAATCCTCTCGCAGCCAGACCAGACGCCACCAAGCTCAAAGGGCGTACTGGACCCATCAACGTCGGAAATCCTCTCGCCACCAGACCAGATGCCACAAAGCTCAAAGAGCGGACTGGACCTATCAACGTCGGAAATCCTCTCGCAGACAGACCAGATGCCACAAAGCTTAAAGAGCGGACTGGAGCCATCAAGGTCGGAAATCCTCTCGCCGCCAAACTAGATGCCACAAAGCTCAAAGAGCGGACTGGAGCCATCAACGTCGGAAATCATCTCGCCGCCAGACCACCCGGAACAAATCTCAAAGGGCGGACTGGACCCATCTACGTCGGAAATCCTGACGCCGCCAGATCAGAGGCCACGCCAAACTCCACGCGACCGCAGGCTGAAGCAGACTCACCGGACATCCCTATCGCCGCTGCACAAAAAGTAGTGGAAAGGTTTGTCGCGACTCTCGAGGGCGAAGCAGGTGAGGCGTGTGAGGTGGGCGCTGGTGTGGCAGATGTTGACTTGTCTTGGCCGGTGAGAAGAGACTGGAGAGAGACGTTTGCGGCGAAGGAGTTGCAGAAAGAGAAGGAGAAGGAGAGCCAGGAGAAGTTGGCGGCCGAAACGCGCAAGCGGACTGCATGTCAGAGGGAGCAAGCATGGATGCGGGGAAATACAATGGTGGAGGCACATCGTGTGTGGGACCAGCGCGAATCGGGTAAGAAGCAGCAGAGGGGTGAGGATGAGGGTAGAATGCTAGAGGAGAGGCGGGTGCAGCGCGAAAAAGAGGTGAAGCAGCGGAGGGAGGAGGAACAGCGAAAGAGGGAGGAGAAAAAGGTGGAGCGCGAAAAAGAGGAGAAGCGACAGAGGGAGGAGGAAAAGAGGAAGAGGGACGAGGAACGAGAGGTCGAGCGCGAAAAGGAAGAGAAGCGCCAGAGGGAAGGGGAAGAGCGGAAGAGGGAGGAGGAAAGGGTGCAGCGCGAAAAAGAAGAGACGAGGCAGAGGGAAGAGGATGAGCAGAAGCGAGAGGAGGAAAGGCGGGTCGAGCGCGAAAGCGAGGAGAAGCGAAAGAGGGAGGAGCACGCGAAGGCGGTGAAGAGGCGGGCACAATTGGAGGCAGAGTTGGAGGCAAAGCATGAGCGGATAGCAAAGCTTGCTGAAGCGAAGCGGTTGGAGGCCGACAAGCAAAAAAAGGACCTCGAAATAGAGCGTCAGAAAGCGCAAAAGGAGATGGAGCGTATTGCACGGTTGAAGGAAGCCGCAAAGAAGGAAGAGGAGATGCAACAAAAGGAGTTAGAGGCAGAAACGGAGAAAATGGAAAAGGAAAGGCGAAGAATTGCGGGGGAGAGTGTGGATGCGGCAGCAGAGCAAGGGCAGGCAGAAGAGGCGGAAGGTGTAGTGTGCGCCGGGATTCTAAATGTGCTTAGCATGGTTCCGGAAGCACAACTGCAAGTAGTGGACCTGGTGGAGGAGCAAGATGATTGGGTACATCTGACAGGCCCTGCTGATTCAGAGACTCAACCGCCTTCGAAAAGGCCTCGCATAGAGCACATGGGAACGAACATGGACGCAGATGAGGGGTCTTACGGAGCTGCGCAGTCAGAGGATGCAGTCGGTGAAAATGTGTCGGGAAATCAGAATGTGCAACCCACATTGGGAGAGGCGACAAACGAGGTGGTACAGAGAAGGATTGACGTGCTACCAGACGAGCTAGGGAAGCGATGGGGGGAAACAAAGCATTTCAGATCGAGTGGTCTTACTACACGCGAAAAAACCAACAAGGACAGGGTGGTGTCCGTGCGGTACAACTCGGAGCAAACCGTCGGGGGTGTGAAGAGGAACATGGGGAGCTTCAAGGAGAAGAAACTGCGCAACTTCACGGTGGCCGTCTGTTGGATGGCCTATTTCCCCGACACGGACACGGTCCATTACGGCATGGATCCTGTCGAGGTTGGAGAGTGGGCGGTCCATCTCGAATTCGCTCGTGAACTCCCGACAGGTGTCTGGAGTGTTATGAACGAATTGAACCTGGACAAATACGAAAAGTGAGTGTTTGCAATGATTCAGCATGCTTACAAAACATGTTTTCGTTCTTCATAACTAACCTCGTATCCACCCCTACTGTGCAGCTTCGACAACGTGATGAAAAAAGCTTACGCATGGGTGAAAGAAGGCGCACATTTCCAGGTGGCTGTCTGTACGGGGATTGGACAGGCGCTGGTGCACGGAGGGGTTGGGCTGGTGTCGGCCCCATTCAGTGTCAGTTCCGCGGTCTATGCAGCGGGAGTGGCTGCAACCCTCTATACCCTGTGGTGTGCCTCGATCGGGATTCCCCACCAAGACTGGGCGGAGGGTGCGGATGAGGCGGCTCGTGGCACGCTTAATGAGGGAAGCCTTGCGTTTTGAGCAACCTCAACGGCTCGGCTCGGAGTGTGGGCTTTAAAATCTGTCAAGAACCAAACGCACGAAAAGGCAGACTGGGAAGTGGTACTCACCAAGGCTATTCTAAACCTTGTGGATCCCGAGCCTGGGGAGACAGAGGCTGTTGAAATGGCGAAAGTGGTTTCGAGGGTGCTGGTGTACTGGTGCGAGTGCGATCTTGCGGCACAAAGCCTTTACACGTATCAGGGTGGGATGCTCCATTTTCCTCAACCCACGAAAGGGGGACGACGGAAGGCAAATGCAGCAGGCAACCAATGATAGAGGGGGCGATAGCTCAATTTCGAGTTTCCTTCTGCTCCGATCCATTTTTGGTTGTATGGTTTCTTTTTCGATAACCTGCTGGCCTTCACGGTCCTTTTTGTGCTCTCGATTTATGACCACTGTTTTTCTTGAGAAGGCCGGCTTTCCAACAAAAAAACAGAGGGACAATCAATGCTGTAGGAAACATGTCGCGCTCTATGGAACATTTCGCACTACACACGGAATCACACCCGCGCTTATTCGCGAGTGAGTCTCATACGTAGGTTGAATTCGGTTCCTCGGTTCCTAGTTCTTTACGCCCTAAGACAAAGAGGTCTCATATTCCACGTGTTTGTTCCACATAAAAAACGGTCTCTACGACACACACCACGCATGTTATTTGGACCAAAGAGAAACGTATATGCACAAAGCAGTGACCCGCGAAGATATACAGCCCACACCACACAACATGTTATTTGCACCAACCATGCCTAAAAGAGAAATCATCGGTTCAACCAGAAAAAAAAACCTATTGTCCTACAAGAGACGCGAAACATTGACTCGAACCAGGAAATTACGCCTCCTCATCAGAAATCTCCTCAACGTCGTCATCCTTCGCTGGTGTTTTCTTGACGCGAGGACGCAAAGTTTCGCGTTTCCGGGCTTTGGCGCGATCCTCGCCACACTCCACGAACATTCCATCTCCCTTCATCTTTGCGGCTACCTTCGGATCGTAACACCATGTCCTCACCACATCGACAATCTCGTAAACGAGGGGTCCGATACTCTTGTTGCCCACTCCCGCGAAACTTTCCAGCACAAACTTCTCAACAGTGGCAGCATGTTGGCTTTTTTTTCACATGGACGCGAAAGTTTTTTCACGCGGCTACGATGATTGTGACGCCCAGGTCGGGTGCTCCTGCCTTCTTGGCAGCCCGTTTCGCTTCCGTGTCGGCGATGGCGCCATCACGGCCTTTGGAAACCAGCCACAGGTACGTGACCACAAACGCAACGGCACCGGCAAGAGCTCCCTCCGGCACCTTGGATTTCGCGTAAGTTGTGTCCGAAGCCACCTCAAGCCCCAACGCAACTGAGGTCGCTACCTCGTCATTCAGGTTATCCGGTCCATCTTTCGTGTGCCTGAAGCGTGAAAACATGCTTTCGATCCTGCCAAGAAAATTAACACAAAAACTACATTAGGGAATGCACCACATGGAAGCCCGAAATTTGTGAACTCACTTGCAAAACCCACCTGCTGCCGCCAGTGCAGATGCCGCGAAGGTACATAACACCGAGCACTCCAGGATGCAGAAGTCGCGCAACATCCAAATCCGCGGTCCACTTCTCTTCCTCGTTGGACAGAACCATCTTGTCACTCGGAACCTTTTTGTGCCACACGGTCTGTACCACCGTGGCCGTGTATCGAGCGGAGGCGATAGCGGAGAAGCTTCCGAAGTACCAGCGCAGGTTCAGATAGTGCAACTCCTGTCAGAATCCCAACCACTAGACCATTGGGATAAAAGAGCTTGTTTCAGTAGCGGGTCAGTGCGCCCATAACCCCCTAGGCGAACGCGCCTGTAACCCTCTCCATGATCAATCGGACATCCACAGTGCAGATCTACTGACACCCCCCCACACTGGGAGGCCCAGGACTAAGCACAGCGGCAACGGCCTACATGTGCATACACCGGGAATCGAACCCGAGACCGCTCTGATACCATGTCAGAATCCCAACCACTAGACCATTGGGATAAAAGGGCTTGTTTCAGTAGCGGGTCAGTGCGCCCACAACCCCCCAGGCGAACGCGCCTGTAACCCTCTCCAGGATCAATCGGGCATCCACAGTGCAGATCTACTGACAACTCCAGCGTCCAACCCGTCCCTTTCGCGTTTGCCCTTATGCCAACCCCAAGATCCTTCTCTTTCGGGGCGACCTTTGCAACCCCCTTCCCACCACGGAGTTTAGCAAGCAACGCCTGGGTTGCCATCGTGGCCTCGATCTCGTCCGGATTCTCGATCTCCAGCACCTCCACATCACCCTTACCAACCGCGATCTGCGATGACCCGTGCTGTACATCGCCAGCATCTTTGGAAGAGCCTCCCACGTTTCCGGTTGGTGGCTGACGGGTGACATCTGGGGCGGAATTCCACTTAGCTTTTTTCGCGGATGGTGTGGTTCCCTTTGCTGCAGTGACCACCACGCAACGCTTCGCGCCCCTGTCTTCTGCAGTTGTCGCTTCCACAGACTCCTTACCCACTCGGCGGTTTTGCCCCGAAACCAGCAATCCGGCTTCTCTCCTTTCACTTGCGATAGCCATTCCTGTCTCCCTCCCCATTGCTGCTAGCGAAGAAAATTCGCTTTGCGAAACCAGGGACATCAGAGAAGTAGCCGCTTCGGCCAACTTCAACACCGCGCGCTCTGACGACTCGCGCAGCGCAGCCGCAGAGGATCGTTCAGTCCGCACTTCGTGCACAGCATCCGTGAGATCCTTGGCAGCACATCTCTCCATGACTTCCAATCTGCGAAAATTCCCAGCACATTTCTTGGCAAAACCTGTCAACCTTGCATTCTGATCTTCCATCTTTGCTAGAAGTTCGCGCATTCTTTTTCGCTGCACCAAAAGTTCCTGTCGCGTGTCAGCCAGGTCTTGCTGCGAATTCTCGAGAGCATAGTCGATGTGGACGACCCCGTGCGCGAGCGTGTGCACAGACCACGTTAATAGCTCGTCCACCGACCGCCGCTGCACGTTCGCACGCTCAGACCGCAGACCCAGTCGCCTCGTTGCTGCCAATCCGCGAAACTGCGGACCCCGACCTGCATCGGGAAACGCGGCCCCAAATTTCGTGTTGCCTTTGTGCCCTTCGGCATGTCCCCACGCACCACAATACGCACATGTGAGAATTGAGGAATGAATGAACTAGGAAAGAGGTGGGTACAAGTAGGAAAACCTAGAAATGTTGTACCCCATATAGTCTACCCCACTACAGCCTACACAGACTATAGCATATAAGTTTGACACACCCCTATAGGCAAAGTGGGGGAGAACAAGAGGGCACAAGACCAGTCAAGCAAAGCAAAGCAAGCTCAGGGTGGATCACAACGTCACCACACATTCTGAGCACAAGAGCAAGGCCACAAGGCCAGTTCATATGCAAGATCATATATCAAGGTATACAAGCACGTGCAGGTATAGAAAGATCACAGTACAAGCAAGGTGAAGAAGTCAGCAAGTGAGGCCAAGTAGGCACAAGACCTAGCATTGTACAAAAGCGCTGATGATCACAGGGCGGAAGTGCCTTGGTAAAGATATTAGCAGTGTTGGCCTCTGAGGCCACGTAAGCAAGGCGCAGCTGACCACGCTGCTGCAGCTCACGAGCAAGGAAGTAGCGAAGAGCAATGTGCTTAATTCTCTGCTCCAGTCTGTGCTCCCGACACAAGGCCAGCATGGCTTTGTTGGCTACGTACAGAACTGGAGGAGAACGAGGCGGCTCTCCTAGGTCAGTCAGCAGGTAGGTGAGCCAGCGTAGCTCCTGTGCAGCCATCGCCCCCGCGTAGATCTCAGCCTCACAGCTGGAGCCGAGAACAGAAGACGAGCGGGTAGACCGCCACGAAAAAGAGCCGGAGCCAAGGCTGAAGGTGTAACCCTGTGACGACCGCTGCGTAGCCTGGTCGTCAGCCCAAGAAGCGTCTGCGTGACCTGTGAGGACCACTGGACGTCGCCCTCCAAGCACTAGCCCCATGCCTGACGTACTGCACAAGTAGCGCAACACCCTCTTCGCTGCAGCCATGTGCTCTGGTCGGTGTCTCCCAGGAGCAACATAGCGTGCCAAGATGCTAAGAGGGTATGCTAGGTCAGGTCATGTGCAGGTCATCACGTACATGAGGCAGCCAACAAGCTCTGGGTACGGGCCACTCGGCTCTACGGACTCATCCGAAGGCAGAGCTGAGAGCAAGTGGCGAGTAGACAGAGGAGTGGCCTGAGGCGAGGAGTACGTGAAGTCGAAGCGCTGAAGGACCTGCTGCACCATGTGTGACTGAGTCAGGGTAATGGTGCGGCGTGCTCTGTCCCGGGTGATCTGCAAGCCAAGGTAGCTGCGCAGTTCACCCAGGTCTGTACACGTGTGTCTTTTCTGCAACTCGCACTTCACGTGGGCGAGTCCAGCAGTGTCAGCAGTGGCAAAGACCAAGTCGTCGACGTACACGAGGATGTATAACGGCGGCAAGGAGGTGTAGGTGCGCAGAAACAACGACGGGTCGGCAGTAGACGGAGCAAACCCAAGAGCCGCAAGTGTAGTCCTCAATGTGTCGTGCCACTCACGAGGCGCCTGGCGGAGACCATAGACTGGCCACCGGAGGCTCATCTGGGTACCAGGAGGAAACGCCCCAGTGAAGCCAGGTGGGCGGCGCAGCCAGATCTCCTCGTGCAGGCTGCCCTGCAAGAAAGCTGTGCTTAAGTCAAGAGAGTGAAGCTCGTAGTCGCGCTGAGCGGCTATGTGCAGCAGCACCCGAAGAGTGGTCATCTTCGGGGTGGGGGAGAAGGTCTGAAAGTAGTCAACTCCCTGCCGCTGACTGAAGCCACGAGCCACGTAACGCGCCTTGAAGACAGGCGAAGAACCCGGCGGCCGCTTCACCCTGAAAATCCACATGCCACTGACGATGTTCGCCCCAGGTGGGGGAACCTCGTCGACGTAGGTGCCTGTGGACTTCCAGGAAGCCATCTCTGCGTCCATGGCTGACTGCCACTGTGAGGAGTAGGGACCCTCGATCCCCTCAGCGTACGATCGAGGAGTTGGGATGTCTGGTGCATCCGGGTCTCCCTCAGGGGCAATCAGCGTGGACACAAGATGAGACAAAGCAGCAGAAAAACACTGGAACTCCTCCTGCCTGTCCTCAAGGACGTCCGGTCCTAGAGCACACTCACCCCCGACGGACGGAGGACAAATAGACTCAGACTCAGCAACAAGACTAGCAGCGTAGTCTCGACGACAGCGAGCAGCAAAGTCGACAAGCTCAGCAACTAAGGCAGACGCAGCAGTGGACTCAAAAGAAGGGTCAGTGACAACAGTAGCCAGGAGACGCGTGATAGTAGGACTGGCAGCATGAAGAGATTAAGACTACGGGTCAGCAAGAGTAGGAAAAGAGGACTCTGGAGGAGACGGCAACGGGACACGCAGAGGAGCAGTGGAAGGACGTAGTGCCATCTGGTGTGTGCCTAGGACCGCAGGAGGACGCGGACGCGGAGCACGACCACTAGCAGGAGCAGCACGAACAGACAACGCAGGACGAGACACAGGCTAACGACGCTCAGCAAGACCTCCAGTAGGACAATTGTAGGGAAAAGGAGCAGGCAGGGGGGAGGCGGGCTGTAACTGTGACCGCGACTGGACAGGCTGTGGACACGCTAAGGGAGGAGTAGGACCAGTAGAGGGCGGGAGACCAAGAACCTTCTCAAGGAGCGGAACGAAGTATGACCTAGGCTGCGCAGCGCCTCCAGAACCAGCAGGGAGTGCACCAGTACCCCTAGCGGCAGCACCAGCGCCAGCAGCACCACCAGCTCCAACAGCGCTAACTCCAACACCCTCAGAAGCACCAGCGTCAGCAGAACTACCAGCGCCAACACCCCCAGCAGCTCCAGCTCCTGCAGCTCCAGTAGCACCAACTCCAGCAGGACCGTCAGCTCCAGTACTGCCAGCAGCTCCAGCAGTACCTCCAGCAGGACTCCCAGTCTCAGCAGCTCCAGAACCGCCAGGACGAGCACCTCTAGGACCAGCAGCAACAGCATTACCTCCAGCCCCAGCAGCACGGCTCCAGCGCCAGGCAAACCACTCGCACAGCTCCTGTGGAGAGAGTAGCTCCCGCCTCGACGAAGCACCGCCAGAGGCCACACGAGCAGACCCAGCACCCCCAGGCTCCGCACCCCCAGGCTCCCAACCCCCAGGCTCAGCACCCCCATGCTCCGCACCCCCAGGCTCAGCACCCCCAGACTCAGCACCCCCAGGCTCAGCACCCCCAGTCTCAGCACCCCCTGGCTCATCACCCCTAGACTCAGCACCCCCTAGGCTCCGCACCCGCAGACCCGGCACTCGTAGGCTCAGCGCCCCTAGCAGCACCAGAGTCAACAGCTACCTTGACAGGCTCAACTGCGTCTACCTGGGACACACCTGACGGGGCAGGACCCTGAGGGGGGAGGGGGTCTACCTGGGGAGGACCTGGCGCAAGGAAGAGCGGCGGCGGGGGGAGGAGCGCAGTGCGGTAGGGGAAGAGACGGTAGTAAGGCACCGACTCGTCAAAGGTGACGTCCTGGGAGGACAGAACACGGCGCGA